AAGATCCGAGTATCACATGTTCTCACTCACAGAATGGACCTTGAACATCCAATGTAATACTATAAGAAAATGACTGATGGTACTGGAAAACTATGGGGGGGGGAGGGGGATAGGATTAACGGTAGCAAATATCTGTCTGGGGACGGGGAAACACCTCTTATCAATAGGGTGCCTGAATGAAACGTAATTGTATACCTAACCCTTAACTGTACCCCACAACATCATCATAAAAAATATTGATTAAAAAAAAAAAAAGAAAGACCTCGGTGGCTCAGCCTATCATCCCAGCACTTTGGGAGGCTGAGGCAAGTGATGGCCTGAACCCACGGATTCGAGACCAGCCCGGGAAACTTGATGAGACCTTGTCTCTACAATAAATCAAAAATTAGCCGTGCATCGTAGCCCACACCTGTAGTTATGGCTACTTGGAAGTCTGAGGCAGAAGGATCGCCAGAGCCCAGCAGGTCGACACTGGGGTGGTGGTAAGTGTGCCACTGCACTCCAGTCTGGGTGACAGAGTGAGACTCAAAAAAAAAAAAAGAGAAAGACCTTCAGAAACTTCCCTGTGCCTGAGGGTCCAAAGGAGAACCCACACTGCAGGTGATCCCTCCCAGGCCCCGTCCTCCCAGAATAAAGTGGGAGCACAGATACTGGAGGAGGTGGTCCCCTGCATGTGCCCTCCCCTGGGACAGTGCCACATGAATACCACAGTGTTGGTTGTTTTTGTTTTTAAACTTGGCTAGGAGGCTCTGTTCATTCTTCCCTGACACATCTCTCCAAGGTTCCACATGTAGCCCTTGGGGCAGGGGTGGGGGGTGCTGGAGAAGAGTGACCCCAGTAGAGGTTGGCTCCCTTGGGACATTTTGAGAAGGATCCATCAGAAAGACTCTCTACCCCCTACCATCTTCGCACTGGGTGGTCTGCCAGCTCATGGAATTGCCAGTCCCCTGGCTCCATCCACGGCAAAGGAGGAAGCAAAAGCGACTGACTTCACTTCTGCACCTGTCCTCAGGTAACACCCAGCGGGGTGAGGCCTTCGACCCAGGTCTGCAGCTGAATTTTAGCAAGCCTCTGCGTGACTAGAGGAAGCATGTCTGAATTGGTGTGTCGCATGGGATAATAATAATGGCACTTACTGGGTACTGACCAGGTGTCCAGGCACTGTAATAAGCTCTCTACACAGGTTAACTCATTGAATTCTCATGATAACCCTATGAGACAAGGACTCTTATTATCATTATCCCCGTTTAATTAATTTGTCTATCTTTGAGTTGGGGGTCTCATCCTGTCACCCAGGCTGGAGTCCAGGGTCATGATCATGGCTCACTGCAGCCTTGACCTCCTGGACTCAGGCAATCCTTCCACCTCAGCCTCCCAAGTAGCTGGGACTGCAGGTGCACGCCACCATGCCCGGCTAATATTTTTTATTTTTATTTGTGTAGAGATGAGGTCTCGCTATGTTATCCAGGTTGGTCTCAAACTCCTGAGCTCAAGCAACCCTACTACCTCAGCCTCCCAGAGTGCTGGGATTATAGGCATGAGCCACAACGCCTGGCGTATCCCTTTTATAGATGAGAAAACCAAGGAAGAGAGAATACACATAGCTAGCTAGTGAGTATCCTGGGGGAGCTTCTAAATCCATCCACACAACAATAGGCTTTTGCTGCTTCTAGAAATGTGGCCTGCGCCCCTGGGGTCTACCAGCAGAGCCCTAGAGACGGTAGGGACCTCCTTTGAAATTTGTGCCTTGGCCCATGGCTCCAGCCTCTGGAACTCCAAATGGTGACAGCTGCCCCTGTGTCAAAACCGTATCCCATGACCCTCAGCCGAATTTCCTTACCAGCATCCCTAGCTCTGTCTCCTTTGTCTCCTTTCTCTCCTTTCGGGCCTCGGTCACCTGAAACAGAAGAGGAAGGCTGGCATTAGGGATGGAAACAAGTCTTAATGGTGAACGAAACGTTAGCTGTGGAGATTTATGAACCCAAGACCAGAGAAGCTCTCGGGCAGGAGCCAGCAGCACCGGAGGGTACAGCTGGCAAGATACAAGCAGTCAATGCTGCAACTGCCCAGGCATCACCGGGAGGGGGAAGGAGAGAGCGCCGCTGAGAAAGGCTTGTTTGCTCCCAGTTAAAGCGCAGAAGAGCAGCCTCTACCAGCATAGTCCCGAAGAGCATGTGGAATTTAGCAGGAAGAAGATAAGCCAAGATATTCCCATTGAACAGTCAAGGTTTTTGAAGGCCACATCCAAGTGTGTCCTTTCATTTTTATTTATCATAGAGATGGGAGCTCACTATGTTGCCCAGGTAAGCCTCACACCCTTGGCCTCAAGCAATCCTCCCGCCTCGGACTCCCAAAGAGCTGTGGTCACAGGTGTGAGCCACCACGCCTGGTCCCAAGTTTGCTCTAATGAACATGGGGAGAAAACAAGGGAGAGAGGCTTCAGTTACACAGAGAGAGAGAGGCGGGTTCTGTGTCTGGCAGATTTTCCCATGGGAGAGACTATAAAACGTGAGGGTGGCCTCCCAGGGAACTGTGGTGTTTCCTTCCCAGGATACGGCTAATGGAGCAGGGCTCTTTTCCCAGCTGGCATCTCCCTCTACAAGGAAGTAGAAAGTCCTGGCATCACTCAGTGGGCATTAAACAGACGAGGGACCTCTCTTCCAAGGACCTCCCGAAAGATGTCTGCAAATCAAAAGCCCGTGGCGTACTGTCTGGTGAAAAAAAAACAAGCCAGCATGTTCCAGGGGAGAATGCCCAGAGTGATCCAAGTTTTGGAAAAAAAAAAAAAAAAAAACAAACAAACCCAAAAAACAGAGGCAACCATACATATATATAGGAATGCACTGAGAGAAAGGTCTGGCAGGATGTACCCCAAAGTGTTTACAGTGGTTACTGTAAGGAGTAAGAGGGAAGGGAACTCAGTTTATCTTTTATAGTTTAGGCACTTCTGCAGTGTCTATTTTTTCTTTCACAAGCATGCGCTGCTTTTATAATCTGTTTTAAAATCAGCGTTTTCAAATGGGATCATAAAAGAAAGAAAAACGTCAGTCTGCTTCATCACCAACCAGAAAGTAAAAGAGAATGTGTAAGCGATCCAAGATCAAGGGACCCTCCTAGACCCAGAGTAGGAATGATTAGCAGTACTTTTTTCTTCGTTTGTGTTTTAACCAGTGAGGCGTAGGAAGCCTGGGGAAAGAGTATCAGATGTCCTTGTCTTCTGCAGTGATGAGAGGGAGTCTGGACAAGAAGAGACAGAGAGCCTATAAACTCGGCTCCCCTAAAAATGAACAAGGAGGACCCAGTGTGAGGGCTCACGTCTGTCATCCCAGCACTTTGGGAGGCCGAGGAAGGAGGATCGCTTGAGCTCAGGAGTTTGAGACCAGCCTGGGCAACATAGCAGGGCCCCTATATCTATTCAAAAAAAGAAAAACATCAGCTGGGTGTGGTGGTGCCTGCCTATAGTCCCAGATACTTGGAAAGCCGAGGTTACAGTGAGCCATGATCATGCCACTATGCTCCAGCCTGAGCAACAGAGCAAGATTACCAAAAAAAAAAAAAAAAAAAAAAAGCAAAAGACTATTTACTGGAAGAAAAATAAATCAGGAGAAACATTTCTGACAAGGTAAATTTGACAGCTGAATTAAAATAAATATCGGGGTAATAAGACATACATATGTATAGGAATGCGCTGAGAGAAAGGTCTGGCAGGATGCACCCCAAAGTGTTTACAGTGGTTACTGTAAGGAGTAAGAGTATTAAAGAGGGTTAGGAATCTGGAGGGCTGAGGAGGAAGGCTGTCCTGGGCCTGTAGCCTCGGTGGCTGTTCTGAGGGCTACCCTGCTAGTTTGCTCGGGTCCTACCTCTAGGCTTCACCTTAGGTTAACACTTCCTTACGTTTCTGCAAGGACTTTAGGGTGCTCACACCTGTATGCAGGTTCACTCCTCCTCACAGCCCTGTGAAACATGGTACACGACGATTTCTAATTTTTATTTGTTCACTTTTTTATTTTTCCTTTTTTGCGTCAGAGTCTCACTCTCGTTGCCCAGGCTGGAGTGCAGTGGCACGCTCACGGCCAACACAGCCTCAGCCTGCTGGGCTCCGGCAATCCTTCTGCCTCAGCCTTCCAAGCAGCTGGAACCACCACTCCTGCCTACTTTTTTTGTTTCATTTATTGTAGAGACGAGATTGCCCAGGCTGGCCTCAAACCCCTGGACTCAGGCAATCCTCTCGCCTCCGCCTCCCAAAGTGCTGGGAGTACAGGCGTGAGCCACCGTGCCTGGCAAGTTTTATTTATTTATTTTGGTAGAGACAGGGTCTTGCGATACTGCCCAGGCTGGTCTCCAACTGCTGGCCTCAAGGGATCCTGCCACTTCAGCCTCCCAAAGTGCTGGGAGCACAGGCGTGTCTGGCCGATTTCTAGTTTTCAGAGGAAAAGCTAACACTTAACAAGATGAAGTGACTTGCCCCAGGTCACCCGCCGGTCAGTGATAGAGTAGGATGAGAACTCGGACCCACCCACTCCAGTGCCCACGTGCTGCCCGGGCAGGTGGCGACCAGGCTCTGGGGCACCCTGGGACCCTTCTTACCTTTGAACCCGCGCATGCCCATCGGTCCGACAGCCCCCAGCTGCCCATCATCGCCCTTGGGGCCAGGTAGTCCTGGGGTGCCCCTCTCCCCTGGCAGACCTGGGGAGAGAAGACACCGGTGGCGGAGGCTCAGACACAGAACAGGGGAGGCTTGCAGAGGTCATCCTTGGGTTCAACGCTCCACCAACCACCGCGTGTGGGCTCGGCGCCTCTGGTCCCGCTGCTTCTCGTTTCTCTAAAGATGCCGCCAAGGCAGAGTCAAACCAGGTCCGCGCAGGACCTCCCACGTGCGTCTTTTATCAGTTAGGCTCGGACCCCACCCCCTGGGAGGCCCAGTTCTGCTGTGAGTAATGGTGGCACCTACCCCACTTGGGAGATGCCCTTTTACCCTTAGGCGTGCCGGAGATTTAGATTCAGCAAGTTTTCTTTTGCTTAAAGTACTTACTACGTGTCAAGCCCTGCCCTGGAGGCTTTTCATCAAGTATTTCATTTAATCATCACAACACACTGGGAGGTGTTATTTCAACCTGTGATACAAATGAGGAAACTGGAGTCCAGAGAGGTTAAGTAACCTGCTCAAGGGCACACAGCAAAAAAATGTTGGAGGCAGGATCTGGTCATCTTCACCTTATGCTGGATCAGTGGGCTCCCTGGTATTTAGGGAGGGGATGGGAGAAAGATGAACCAGCTCCTCATCCTAGTTAAGAAGAAACCCAGTCGGGCTCGGTGGCTCAGTCTGTAATCCCGCGCCTTGGGAGGCTGAGGTGAGTGGATTGCCTGAGCCCACTGGTTTGAGACCCGCCTGGGCAACCTGGCAAGACCTCATCTCTACAATAAATAAAAAAATTAGCCAGGTGTGGTAGCATGCGCCTGTAGTTCCAGCTACTTGGAAGGCTGAGGCGTAAGGATCGCCGGAGCCCGGAGCCCAGCGAGTGGAGGCTGCGGTGGCCGGGAGCGGCCACTGCACTCCAGTCTGGGCGACAGAGTGAGACTCCAACTCAAAAAAAAAAAAAGAAAAAACCCAAAGGATCCCTTCCCTTCCATAAACACAGGGAGGCATATAACTAGAGGCTGAGAGGGACAGAGGCCATCAGCAAGCTCAGTGAGTGGGACGGACAGTCTGCTGCTGCAAGATCAGGCCTCACAGCTCCCGGCCACGAGGCCCCATGGCCACCGCCTGCATCATCTATGCCATAGAGAGCCAGCATAAGCAAGCATCTGATGGAGACAGAGCCTGGCCTAAGCCTATGGTTTTGTTTTTTGGTTTTTTTTGAAAGTATGATTTATTGAGAAGACAAGAAAGCTCCCACGGTGGGAGGGGACACAAGGGAGTTGCCCTGTTTTTGTTTTTTTGTTTTTTTTTTTGCACAGGCGAGGTTTCACTATGTTGCCCAGGGTGGTCTCTAATTCATGGGCTCAAGCAGTCCTCCCACCTCGGCTTCCCAAAGTGCTGGGATTACAGGTGTGAGCCACTGTGCCCGGCCCAAGGGTTGCAAGGTTTGATGAAGTAAGGAGACAGGATCTTCTGAGACAATGAGTCTAAGAAGAACATTTTCTGTCTAGAAGGCCAAAGAGTATCCCCCACCCTCCCCCACTGGCCACTGGGTCTTCAGGGTTGTCACCGTGTACAGCAGGATGGGGGAGGGAGGGGACGGGCAGGTGCTCGTGACCCCACAGACCTGGCAGGGTCAGAAAGGGTGGTGACGGGATGGGAGGGAGGTAGGTGCCTGGTGGTTCAGGGAACGTGGGCAGGCACGGCGTACTTGAAGGGTTGTCTGGGTTTCAAAACACTTCCAAGGCCCTGGTCGCATGGCCCTGACTCTTGGTGGGATGTGGCTTCAGGTACCTCTCCTTCAGCTCCTGGCATTTTCTTTTTTTTTTTGAGTCAGAGTGTCACTCTGCCACCCAGGCTGGAGTGCAGTGGCACGCTCTTGGCCACCGCAACCTCGCCCTGCTGGGCTCCGGCAATCCTTCCGCCTCAGCCTTCCAAGTAGCCGGAACTACAGGTATGTGCTACCATGTCTGGCTAATTTTTCATTTATTGTAGAGACGAGGTCTCGCCAAGTTGCCCAGGCGGGTCTCGAACCCGTGGGTTCAGGCAATCCACTGGCCTCGGCCTCCCAAAGGGCTGGGATGACAGGCTGAGCCACCTAAGTTGCTCCAACAACCCGTCAGTCCCTGGTCGGAACAGAGCCTCTGGGTTGACGGGCACTCCAGGGAGCCCCTCATTGATATCGGTGAGAGAGTTGAGGGGCAGGGAGGGGCTCTCTCGGGCCCTTCCCCCGGCCATCCCCATTACCTCGCAGTCCAGGTAATCCCGGGATGCCAGGTCTGCCCTCCTTGCCTTCATCCCCCCGGTCACCTTTTGGTCCCGGTGGCCCTGGAAGGGTTAAAACAGCACCATGTTAGACGGCTGCTTTCTGACGCAGGACCAGGTCATCTGCGGAGGAAACAAAACTCCCTCTCTGATGAGAGGAAGGGTCAGCATTAGCACTGGAAGCACACGGGGCACCCCCTAGCCTGGTCTTGGAGGGTATCAGGGAAGGCTTCCTGGAAGAAGTAGTTTCCAAAGTGAAATTGCAAAGGGAAACAGGAGATAGCGAAGTAAAGAGAGGGGTGGGAGCGTGTTATGGACTGGATGGGTGTGTCCCCTCTCAAGCCATATGTTGAAGCCCAGACCTCTAATGTGGTTTTAAGATATGGGGTCTTTGGGAGATGATTAGGTTAAGATGAGGTCTCGAGGGTGGGGTCTCATGGTGGGATTAGGGGTTTTATAAGGAACAACACCATTCTCCCTCTCATTCTCACTCTTTCACTCTCATTCATTCATTCTCTCATTCTCACTCATCCATTCTCTCTCTCATTCACATTCATTCATTCTCTCTCTCATTCTCATTCATTCATTCTCACTCTCTCATTCACTTTCGTTTGTTCTCTCATTCTCATTTATCCCCTCCCCCCCATCACGGAAGGACACAGTAAGGAGGTGGCAGTCTGCAAACCAGAAAGAGAGTCCTCACCGGCACCCAGCTCTGCCAGCACCCTGATCTCAGACTTCCAGCCTCCAGAACCGTGAGAAATAAACACCCGTTGTTTAAGCCACTCAGTCCATGGTGTTTTGTTCCGGCTTGGTTAGCCTGGCTAACCAAGACGGGGTGAAAAGCGACAGTTCCAGGTAGAGGGAACAATCCCTACACAGGCTGAAAGCGAAGACAGAGGTATGTAAGCAGTGGGGGGATAAGAAGCTGCGGCGCACTGGAGGTCCTGGAGGCTGGGTCTGAGTGTTGGACTTGACCCCAGCCTAGGGCACGAGGAGTCATGGGAGGGGCCCGAGAAAAGAGCCTGATCTGATCTGCACGGGAGAAAGAGGATGCAGGCTGCAGTGTGGAAGATGGATCCCAGGAGGAGGGAGGCCAAGGTGGAGGCTGCAGTCTACCCAGGGGCGGGGTGAGAGCCCTGGATGAGGGAAGTGGCTGTCAGGGGAACTGTCTGGAAAGTAGGCACAATGTTGGTGCCAGTGGGAGAAGAGGAAGCCAGGGTCGTGCTCAGATTTCCGGCCACAGCATCTGGATGGAAGAGGAGTTTCTGCTCGCTCCTGCTGGAGGCTGCCTTTCAGGGATTCTAGCATAAGTGATTGGATTCAGTCCCCATGACAATGCTGTAGGCTGAAGTCACTAGTCTGAGACCACACGGGCTGCTAGCCAGTGCAGAGACCACGGTTTCAACCCAGGTCTGACCAGCCCACATCTACCCTGCCACATCCACGGGTCTTACCACTCATGGAACCTTCTTGCCACCATCGCGGTGCCTGCTGTTCCCTGTCTGGCAAGCACGTAAGCCCTCCAGGCCAGGCCCCAGGGCTCTCACTACCACCTTCCTGGCGAAGCCTTCCCTGACCCGTCATCCCTGCTGAAAGTGGGCACAGCCTTTCTGAACGTACACATTCGGTGCCATCCGATGGCTCTCTCACACTGCCTGTCCTCTACAGCCCTGGACGTGCTGTGAAGACCCAGACTCCAAGCTCCTGCCTACTGCTGCTTTTCTGGAGAAAATGGAGACCAACAGAAAAGTCCACATCATATTGGACTGGGCTTTACAGTGTCCCCACCCTCACCAAATTCCTGTTTGCACAGATTCTCAGAACATGACCTTATCTGAAAATTGGGTCTTAGGCCGGGTGCAGTGGCTCATGCCTGTCACCTCAGCGCTTTGGGAGGCTGAGGCAAGAGGATCACCTGAGGCCAGGATTTTGAGAAGAGCCTGGGCAACATGGTGAGATGCCGTTTCTACAAAAAAATTTTTTAAATTAGCCAGGCGTGCTCATATGTGCCTGTAATACTAGCTATTCAGGAGGCTGTGGTGGGAGAATTGCTTGAGCCTAGGAGGCCTGTAGTCAACCATGATCACAACACTGCACTCCACAACAGACAGAGACCTTGTATCAGAGACAGAGAGAGAGAGAGAGAGAGAGAGAGACAGAGAGAGAGAGAGAGAGACAGAGACAGAGACAGAGATGGGGGGGAGGCAGAGAGAAAGAGAGAGGGTTCTTTGCAGGTGTAATTAGTTAAGATGAGGCCATACTGGAGTAGGGTGGGCACTAATCTGATCACTGGTGTTCTTAAAGAAGAGCAAACAGGCTGGGCTCGGTGGCTCAGCCTGTAACCCCAGCGCTTTGGGAGGCTGAAGTGAATGGACTGCCTGAGCCTCCAGGTTCGAGACCCGCCCAGGCAACTTGGCGAGACCTCATCTCTACAATAAATCAAAAAAATTAGCCGGGCATGGTAGCGTGCGCCTGTAGTTCCAGCTACTTGGAAGGCAGAGGCGGAAGGATCGCCAGAGCCCAGGGGGTCGAGGCTGCGGTGGCCGGGAGCGTGCCACTGCACTCCAGTTTGGGCGATGGAGTGAGACTCCAGCTCTAAAAAAAAAAGAAGAGCAAACAGAGATGGATATGAGAACACCCCATGACAACACAGGCAGACACTGGAGTGGTGACTGGAGTAATGTGTCTACAAGCCAAGGAACACCAAGGGTTGCCAGCAACCACCAGAAGCCAGAAAGTGCAAGGAAGGACCCTTCCCTAGAGCTTTCAGAGAGAATACGACCCCATGGATACTTTCTTTCAGACTTCCAGCCTCCAGAACGGGGACAGAGTAAATTTGTGCTAAGCCACCAAGTTGTGGTGCTTTGTTATGGCAGCTCTAGGAGACCAAAACACAGATACTCACACCACAGCAGTAACATCTTGCACAATAAATACTTGATGGATGAGTATATGAGATCAGAGGGTGTTAAAAATACATACAAAACAACCGGGTGGCCAAGATCGAGATGTACTGATACATTATTCGCGCTGGCACTGTCCTCAGACCCTGACCAAAGCAGACGGCTGTTTAATAGTTCAATGGCACACGCTCAGGGAAAAAGCAATCAGCGATGTTTTAATCCACAAGTCATACGGATCATTTAAGGAGAACCAGGGGTTTTTTTTTCCTTCTTTTATTATTTTAAGAAGTCTTGCTATGTTGCCCAGGTTGGTCTCGAACTCCTGAGCTCAAGCGATCTTCCTGCGTCAGCCTCCCAAAGTGCTGGGATTGCAGGCGTGAGCCACCATGCCCAGCCGAGGACCAGGTCTTGTAGCCATTTTCTACCTTTTCTGTGAAGGACAGCAAAGGAAGACTGATCATACTGATCCCAGGCTTCAGGACTTTGAACCCGTTGGTGACAGCCTGAACGACACAGCCGGTGGCAGGCAGAGCCAGGAAGCTAATGAGCCCTACAGCCTCCATTCCCACGATCTCCCCTCATGATCAAGGCTGCAGCAAAGGGGACTGAGAGGGACACCTGAATCTCTGTTGCTGGGCTAGACCCCTGCTTCTCTCTTCTCTGCCCCTTCCCAGCCCTCCTTACTAAGAACCCAGGTGCTCCAGGAATTGAGTTGGTCAAGGATGCAAGGGACTACACACTTCAACTCGACCTGTACCTCGGACATGGGTGTAACTTGCACATGGGTCTTCCCAGGAGGCTGTGCGATAGGAGGCCAAGAGAGGTTGCTGCCCGGGAGAATGGCCTTGCTGCGGGACTGGGTGGTGAGCCCTTGGAAGGTGGGTATCAAGTGTGGATAGACAGTGTCTTGGGTTCAGGTTCTGGTTCTATTAAGTGTAGGTAAAAATCCCTTTCTCGTGCCACTGTAGTGAGAAGTGAGTGGTCTTAGTGACACGATGACTATAAAAGGGCTGTACGGCTTTGCGTGGCAAGGTCAGCCCTGACCACTGGCAGCCCACCTTCCGTGACGCCTCAGAACCATTATAAGGTCACTGCTGGCTGGCTGTGGTGGCTCAAGCCTTTAATGCCAGCACTTTGGGAGGCCGAGGCGAGAGAATTGCCTGAGCCCGCAGGTTCGAGACCAGCCTGGGCAACATGGTGAAACCTCGTCTCTACAATAAATCAAAAAAATTGGTTGGGCACAGTAACATGCGCCTATAGTTCTGGCCACTTGGAAGGCTGAGGCGGAAGGATCGCCGGAGTCCAGTAGGTCGACACTGGGGTGGCCGTGAGCATGCCACTGCATCCCAGCTTGGGCGACGGAGTGAGACTCCAACTCAAAAAAAAAAAAAAGATCATTGCTTAAGGACATTCCCTGCTGCATTTGAAGTCACCCTGCTGAATTAAATGGATTATCCAAGGACAGACAGGTGTCAGAAACACGTGAATATATAAGTATATCTGGGGAGAGATGAGAGGCTCTTGTTCTGTAGCCCCGCCAGGAGTGCAGTGGTGTGATCATAGTTCACTGCAGCTTTGATCCTCCCACCTCAGGCTCTGAGTAGCTGGGACTACAGCCGCACACTACTACACCTGGCTAATTTTTAAGTTTTTTGTAGCGATGGGGTTTCACTGTGTTGTCCAGGGTAGTCTTGAACTCCGGGGCTCAAGCAATCCTCCTGCCTCGGCCTCCCACAGTGCTGAGACTGCCGGTGTAAGCCACTGTGCCTGGCTTGGTTATATGTTTTTAAACACAAATAAGTGGCTAACGAAGGCTTTTACTAGCGCTGAACTGGCAAGAAGCTGGGGACGGTAAAGGTGGGCACTGATTTCCAAGCCTTCACACATTCTCAGGCATTGCTGGCATGGCCAACTTGGAAGGGGCTCCAACTTGGCCAGGGTCTCCCCAGGCCGGGCTGCCGGGTGCTCCAAGAACTAAGCATGTCTTCAGATCCTTGCCATGGCCTGTGGGAGATGCATTCGTGAGATCTGACTTTTCATGATATCTATCGGAGCTGTTCTTTTCTCAGGAATCCAGGCAAGAAATCTCAAGCCTGCTCTGACTCCTCTTGTCATAGAGGAGGGTCCCTCTCATGTCTCCACTTCATTCCTCACTGG